AACAATAAATTACCTGCTATACTCTCCCACCGACGCAGCACCACAGTTTCTTTAAAGGCTTACCCTTTTATTCATTTGGTTAAGTGACCGTGATAACAGTTTTGGCTATGTGGGTATTGCGGGTAGAACAGAAATTCCATCCACAGAGAGTTCTTTTTTAAAACCTCAAATTAATAGCAACAAATTGTAATTGAATGCAGCTGAATTTATCGTTATTTTTGTTTAACGAGTGTAATCTCAACAGCAGTTCTTTCAAAAGTTATACAGTTTGATCAACGCGCGGGGCATTAATCCATAAATTTGCGACCCATTTCTCTCCTTTATCCACATCACATCCGCCATGTAACGATAACAGATCCACCTCGCCCATCATTCCGGATTCCTCCTCTAGAACATGGTTGTACCAAAACAGAGCGCTACCCTTCACGGGTTTCACAATCAAAGTTGCCTTTTGGCACCTCTTACTGAGATTTGAGGAATAGTTTCTTCCTGACAACAGTTCTTCGTGATCTGCGATCGGAAACGCAGTTTCTCCTCCTTCAGTGACGTTGTTCAAGTAGAACAGAACGGTGATGTACCTAAATAAAAAGAAAAACCAAAAAAATTAAGTGGAAAATCCGAGTCGTTCGCCGATTTGAACAGTTACCTCTCAACCTTTTAACCCCCAAGAGTGATTAGTACCTAATTCTCCCCACATCCCCGAATCACACATTTAGGTTACGAGAATAAAGGAAATGATCACCAACTAAAGAGGCTCTTGATTGTTTAACAAATTCTCCTTGTCAGCACCTTGGGAGATGTGTAGAGCATAGTATGAAGAGTTTGTATACTGATGTTAGGATGTAAAAGGTTAAAGCTGATTTGCATTAACAACGCAAGCACAAGCGCAAGCAAAAAAACAAACAGCTCTTAGCGGACGATGTTTTTTCGTCTTGTTACGAGCGTGGCACAAAGAAAAAAATTATGAATCCCAAGAGGAATCGAACCTCAGACCTTCAGATTCTGAGATTCTGATGCTCTACCACTAAGCAATAGAGACTCTACCGTGAGTAAGGCCACAGCTCTTATTTCACTGCGAAAACGGCCTGGACAGCATTCTGATCCTTGTGCCCGTAATTCCGCTTGTATTTATGCTTACGTCGAGGCTGTTTTTACGGTGAAATAAGAGCTGTTGTGCTTGCATTTGTACTTGCACTAGTGGTTGCGTTGCCAGTGAAAACCAGGCTTTATACAAAGTCAGCATGTCATTTCACCTAATGGGGTCGAAGCCTTCAGAAAGGAATAAAATTTACATATGAAGTATGTATGAAGGTTATGATCCTATCCACCCCGTAAATGTCCAGAGTACATCACCTTGACGAGTATGATCCTAACATCGTAGTCAGTGGTTATAAACTAGAACGTATTAAATCTTGCAAACTGCTTGGAGTTCACATCAATGAGCATCTTAAGTGGGACGATCACATCACGCACACGGTATCGATACTAAGAAAATTGAAATACCTTGCCAAATATGAGCTTAGAAAGCAACTGGTAGAAACATTGATTTTGTCAAAACTAGATTACGCCGATCTAGTTTTTTACCCTTTACCACAATTCTTACTTCGCCGTGTGCAACGAGTTCAATTTGCTGCCGCAAGTTTTGTACTCGGTCACTATGTCAAGAACTTTTGGGATGTACTTAAAATCGGATGACTTGCAATCAATGAGAGAAGAGATTTGAACCTCCTGAAATTATGCTTTAAAGCTTTGCATAACACTGAGACTTGGCCAGATTATCTTAAAATAATAAAACAGGAATGTCGCAAGGAACTGCGCTCAAGCAATTCAATTAGATTAGTGTTCCCGACCGAAAACAGCACTTTCCAAGATAACGCGTCGAAGCTATTTAACAATTTACCAGAATCTATTAGAAACTGTAAAGATTATAGAATCTTTTTAAGACTTTGAAGGAATTTTTTATGTAATAGAGTACAAAGTGATTAGTTAGTTTTACTATAATTTCTATTCTGTTAATCCTAATTCTACTTTTCATTGCATATTGCATAATTTGTGAAATAACTTAATTTGATTTTTTTATTTTTTAATTTTTTTTATTTTTAATTTTTATTTTTATTGTAATTAATGTATTTTAACAGGGAAGAGCCACCTGGTGGATCTGTTTATAAACCATTATCATCATTATTATGTGGCAGTGTATACTTAAGTATGCCTAGGCATGATTACGTTAAGTCGGGCAGGCTAGCTGTGACCGAGAAAACAAAACCTATAAATATATATTTACACATTTAAAACTATATATCTAATTTGTTTATATTCATTAAAAAATTAGTGTCCATGACTGTTCGCTTTTGTCCATCAAAAAAAAAAAAAAAAAAATTTATTATTATTATTATTATTATTATTATTATTATTATCAATATTATTATCATACGACGTACACACATGATCTCACCGGCTCAACAGATGTATAACAATCGCTGTTTTCACCTTGCCCTTTACACCTTAACATTAATATTTTTATTCTCCAAACTTTTCGCCTCTTACATTTCCTGTCGCTTACTTCATGCCAATTGGAACTTAAACTTTGTTGAAAATAAACAAATCCCCTCTAAAAGTGCTATTTAGCGTTTTGTTCTGGAAAAATGTTTCAAATAGCGAGGCCACAAAACAGTCCTAGCACCCTAAGGCACTAACTTAACTCAAGAAATTAGGTTAACTCTTTTACGCCCTAACATCAGTATGCATATTCTACATACTGTTCTCTGTATATTTACTAAGGTGCTGACGAGGAGAATTTGTTTACAATCGAGAGCTTCTTCAGTTGGTGATCAATTCCTTTAATCTTATGATCTTAATGCTCGATTGGGGTGGGGGGGGGGGGGGAGAGGAGGAGGAGGAGGAGGGGTGATATTGTACAGAGAAAATAGCTGCTAGCTATTCTTGTGAGTCAAAGGGTAACAGACTGAAAAAAGCCTATAAGCTCACCTGCATATAAGACAAGAACTTTGGGATTGGTTCTCAAACTTCTGACAACATCTCTTTTCCTGGATTTCTGAACCCACAGTAGAATCATAATGGGCGTAATAATGGCCACCTTGCCGATATTTGACGACCTGTTAATATACAAACAAACAAACAAACAAATAGAGTTTACTGATAGAATAATTTCCAATTAAGTGTCATTCTCGTTTGTTTTGATCTTGCTTTATTCTGCCCTGTTATTGGTCTAAAAGAAAAATTGTACATATCTTCTAACCAATCAGGAGCAATATCATTACAAATCACGACTTATCCCTTGCGTAACAGGAAAATTTCTGCAATGAGACAGAGGGGGGAGGAGAATTTATCCCTCGAATCTAATCATACACACGACGCGTTCCCTAGACTACGAGCAGTCATTCTTCGGCGAAGTCCGTCGCGTGACTTTAAAAAAGTACGAAATGTACCTACTGCCTTTCACTTCCAGAGTTCCGCGCGGTTGCGCTAACATCAAGGGTTTTTCTTTATTTTTCCTTTTTCGCTGCTTTTGTTTTGTTTTGTTTGTTCTTTTGTTTGTTTGTCTTTTTGGGGAGGGGGATGCGCTACGGTCTTCGCCGAAAAGGAGAGACCATTTGTAGTCTATGCGCTTCCCCTTAGTAAGAGGACCACCCGCTGGACGAAGTCTTGCCACTTGTGCTGCGTGACAAAAACAAGACAACGGGTGCAAAGAATCAAGTTTCATTGGCAAACAAAAGTGGTTTCTTTCCCACCTGATATGGTCGAGGACAAGATCGAAATTTGAAGCTAAAACTAAGTAATCACTTTCTGTTTTTTTTTTACCTGTAAATCTTCGCTGTGCTCAATCTGCAACGCAGAGATCTGAGTAACCTCTGCTACTCTTCTTTTAATTCGCTCCAACACAGGATCTTTTTTACTAAACTCCACCCAAGTGTGCATACTGTATCTTTCATTATAGTAAGGGAAGCGGTACATGGTGTGAATTCGATACATGAACTCTACAAACTGCGTTCGATTCACCTTAGTGCAGTTCTCGTAGGTGATGTACGAAGCTCCTTCGAGGAGGAGCGCTTCGTAAGCGTTCCACACATCGTTGCGGGTCACCAACATTTTTTTAACGCTGTATACATAATCATTAAACTCACGAACAGTTATATTCCCGTCCTCATTCTTGTCGAAACGGCAGATTCTCTTGCAGTAGATTCCCATTTGTCTCTGTGTTAACGTTGTGTTCACACCCTCTCTAGTCACCGTTTCTCTACGTGCGGTTGCGCTCTCTGCGAGACCATTCGTGTTCGCTAGGTTTACCAAGTGATCGCATTCATCGTCGCTTAGCAGACCTGGGATTTCAAACACAGGCGGCTTTACACTTCGGGTTTTTAATTGTAAGGTCTTCTCTTCATCAACTTGGATGGTTTGTACGTGATCTACAGCTACAGGATCTCTCCTTGGAAGTCGTACGTCTGAAATGGCAGAGTATAAACCATCTTTATAGCACGGTTCTTGTTCGCCGTCCCCATCCACGCCGGGGCCACCAAAGGAACATGTTTCACCTTTGCTTGGCTTCAAATCCGATCCACGAATATGGACGAAACCACAAGTTATCACAAGAATGAAGAAAAAATATTTCGAGGGAAAAGACATGATGAGGTGATATCTGCCAAAGATAGGCAGAGCAACACCATCGAAGAAGAAAGGGGTTGTTGTTGTCTGTGTTATCTCAAACTTAATTAGATCAAAGGCCGTTTGTTTATCGCTGCACGATGCCCGCACAAAGACTCAGCTAGGTTTTTGTCATTTGATACTACAGGCTGTAACTGCAAGAAATATTAGGTAGAGTGACTGACAAAACACCACGCGAGAAGGTCACGCGAGGGGTGCAAGAACGCGCCGTTCACATTTTTGCCTTGAAAAGGCCTATCTGAAGAACCAAAACACTACAGTTGAATGGCGTCAGGCAAGATATTATGAACTGATCTCTTGCGTCATGATAAAAAAAACAAAAGCGGGAAAAAAATGTAAAAACAAAATAAAACCTCATGGGGCTGTTGATTTTTAAAAGTTTAACAGGCCTGGTTTGATCAGGGAAAAGATCCAGGATTTTTCTGTATTTCCTCGAAGAAGCCCCCTCCTCAGAAAAAGCAACCACACTCCGCCAGCTCCCTTCGTCCCTCACTTTCTTAAATAGTAGAAACACAAGGAAAACCTGTACACATTTCCACTTTATCTACGACTTCTTATGGTTTAACTACGACGCGATTAGCACAGGATAATGAATTTTCCCCTGTATTTCCAAGAATAAGCGCCCACGCTCTAATCAGCGCTCTCCCCAAATAAGCACCCACCCTCCAGGTCATTATGTCAAGCAAGAGCCCCTTTCGAATTAGCATCCCCCCCCGTATCCCTACTAATAGGGACACTAAGAAAACCTGTTGCTGTGGCTACTTTTTTGTATCTTCAACTACAGCAGCATCAGTGCTGTCCTTTTTCGTCAAGTCATTTCCAGTTTTTTCTATCTCCATTTGCTTGCTGTTCTTTTAATTTGGGTCCTATTGCCGCGCTCTTGG